GCTTTGTTTTTATCTGCATGGCTCCTATATGCAGCACCACAGTGTGCAGCAGAATATAAAGCTACAGCTCTGTACTGTGCAGGACCAGCAGCAAAAACTATGGTGCTGTATAATCAGTGGTGTGCTTTACCAAAAAGGACACCGCGGCTCTATGAACAAGACATGCATAGCTGTACCAAGACCAAAAAACAAAAAAAGAAAAAGAAAGAAAAGAAAAGGCCCCAGCAGGGGTTGTAAGTCTGAACAGTTGTGAGCAATAGCTGTGCACTGGTTTGTTACACCGGCTCTTTATGGAAGACTGAGAATATACATATTATCGTCAGTACCGTTAAGTTGCAGAGCCATGATTACATATGTTAGGACTAAAAAAAAACTTTAATCAAAAATTAAACTTTTAGTAGGGCATGGAGAGCACACCTGTAAACCTATACTTGGGAGGCTGAGGCAGGAGGATCACAGTGAGCTAGAGGCCATCCTGAACTACACAGTGAGACCCTGTCTCAAAAGGCTGACCAACCAATCAATCAATAAACGGTCGCCACACCCAAAGCATCAAGATAAAGCAGGCACCACTGGTAAGTCCATGGGGGACCTTGACCTGTAACACTGGCACTTGGGACAATGCTCCTTGCTCCATGCCCTGGAATCCAGAGTCTCTAAGCAGTAGGGTCCATTTGGGGTGGAGGGGCAGGAACCCCCATCTCTCTCTGCAACCAAACTGCACCCCAGCCCCATCTCTCTCTCTGGTACACAGGATGGTGTTGCCCTGGATCTGCCTTTCTGTCTTTCTATGGCTTCGGAGCTCAAGTTAGAGGAGGCTGTGATTGGCCCACTGCTTGAAATGCTGTTATTAATGACAGTAAATGAGCACATGTGCAAGAAGGAGGAAGAGACAAAGAGAAAATCCTGCCCTTGCCCGTTCCAGCCTGCTGGATATTCCTCCAGTGCCAGACCGTTTGATTCAAAGCAGAGCATTTGCGGAACACCAGACCAGACCCGACCCATGCCCCTGACCTTTGCTTGGAATCACCCAATGCACTAAACGCTTTAGTCTTTTTGTGTCCATCCATCTTTTGTGGGTTGCTACAAATGTGTAGAGCAACACAGAGCCGAAGGCTACTTTGTATCAGATGTGGCCCTCCTGTGAGTCTTGTAATTTATTGAAATGTTTAAACAGTGAAGGCTCACTCCCCCCGCCCGTCCTGCCCCAACTCTTTCTTTATGCTGTGACTTCTGTGTCTGGAACGTCAGCAGAGCCCTCCCGTGGACAGTTTAACAACTCTAATTTGCTGTTCCTACAAAGCAGCTTTCCGGGGGAGACCATTATGTCAGCTTTGTGCCTTAACTGCTGGGTTTGGATCCTGCGAGCTGAGGACTTTAACTGAATCTTTTAATCACATTTTATGTGATAATAGACTAGATCCTGGTGCTGCCAAGAGAAAGGAAGCCACATCCAAGTCAACGTATTCAAGAACGGGAGACAAGGCAGGAAGAAGCAGGGCCACGTCGTCAGAGGAGTCCCCTTGGGACACCCTGGCTCCAGTGCCATGCATTTTCCGAAAGCCCAAATCTAAATGTAGCCAGACTCTTTCCAGCAAGATAAGGAGACTCCCCTATGCCCACAGACGTCGTGCTGAGAATGACAACATGCATGCAGAAATGTGGACGACGTGGGATTCACCACCCAGACCGAGTTCAACAAGCTTTCGCCTTGCCACCACATTCGCTCCGAACCTTCCACGGTAACTGAGGCTACTGTGCGACATCCTCCCGCTCGGCGTCTCCACCCCAGACCTGCCGCCGTCGTGGCAGCCGATGTCTCGAGACATTTGTGCACAACCGAAGCTCGTGAACAGCCCTTCCGCTGAGCCCGGGGCTCTGCCTACTTGGATATTTGCCTCCGACACTGGGCCCCGGAGATTTCTGACTCCTTTTCTGCAGATGAGGACTCCGCTTTCTGTCCGATAGCCACTCCCTGGCAAGACGATCTTTTCTTCCCAGGGCTTTGAAGACACTGCTATCACCTCTGACCTGTGGCTCCCGGGATGCCTCTAAATCCACACTTTTTAGCATAGTCGTCATTTGTGGTCCTCAGAAAGCTTCTGCAGGCTCCACTGCTCCCGTCTCCTTCTCTGTGGAAAAGCCGTGACCATATCTAACTTTGCTCTTGCCTCCGTGGGATGCCGTCCAGCATTATCTTCATTTCTCTTTATTCATCTTTCAAATTTCCACCTCTCTGAGCTTCGTCGGGACTGATTTCTTCAGTTCTATCGCTATTTTAAAACCCCCTCGGCTTATTATTTACCACATCAAATCAGCTTTTATTTCAATAATTATGATTATTTCCAAATTTTGAGGGCTTTTTTGTCCACATTGATCTTGATTCCTAATCACGCTCTGTTGTTTTGTAACTCCCCGTTCTTGTTTAGAGTTAGTTTTACTTCCTTTGCTTGTCTAAGGATTTGAAAGAGACTATTACAGGCCTTCTAGTTTTGTCTATTTTCCTGTTTGCCTTTTAGGTGTTTACTTTCCCACTGATGTCTTTGTGGCATTCTCCTGTGGCGTCTGGTTTCTGGAACACAGAAGAGTTCGTTTGTGTGCCCCTTGGTGTAGAAGTTGCATTCTTTCTCCCCCGGGTACCTATTTTATTGTCCCTGCAGTCCGATTCCCCAGAGCCCATGACTAGGGAGAAGACCCGAGGCCATCAGCCTGTGGCCCCCACTTCAGAAGCAGCGGTGGCTCCGTAGGGAGCAGCATTCTCTGCCACGAGTCTGTGAGCCGTGAACGGGCAGATGCCCTGTGGCCACCGTCACAGGGAGACTGAGTGGCTGGGTGTCCTTCAGGCACAGGAGGACGACAGCGGCCCCTCCCCTCCTGTAGGTGTCAGTAAACCCAGCCCAGGGATGCAGCGATGGCCCCTGTACCCAGTGGGTCTTCCACACCCATGGGTTCTGCACCTTCAGGTCAGCTGACAGCGTGGCGAAGACATGCAGGGAAAATCTGTATCTGTACTGGGTGGGTACAGACCTCTTTCTTGTCCTTCTCTGAACGTGACAGTAACAAGCATTTGCACACTACTCACTGGGCGTTTGCACTGTCGTAGGCATTATAAATAATCTATGGATGATTTGTACCTGGGGCATACTGGAAGCCACGCCTGTAGACGCAAGGCATGGCTGTGCAGTATTATTTCCCAGCTTTTGTGGACCTAGAATCCCCTACCTGGACTGAATCTGGTCTTCTCTGTTTTTCTCTCCCACCAGCCCCTCGCGGGATCCCCTAAGAGCCCCCTCGCTCTTCTTGTTAGCTGGAGCTCATCCTGTCCTTCCTGTCAATGGGCCCTGCTGGGCCACGTGACCCCCAACAGCCCAGCCTGTCCTCTGGGCTGCTGTCCAAGGGCGCCTGGACCTCAGCACTCCAGCCAGGGAAGTCCCTTCCCCGAGTTCCGCACTGTGGACGTCAGGGGCTCCAGCCTGTGCCTGGCGCCTCCTCCTGGGCTGTCACCAAGTTCTGTTCTCAGCCTGGGTCCCTCCACCACACTGGCTCAGTCCCGGCCCATCAAACACACCTGTAATCTGCCCTGTCTCCGAGGGCCCTGCACGGCTCTCGAAGCTTCAGCGGGCTCTGCAGGGCCCTCACGGTCCCTGTGCCACGGTATCCACTCCTCCCCCAGTCCCCTGGGAAATCGGCTCCTTCACGGAGCACGACCTTCGTGCTGTCTCAGGTGTCTTCCAGGGCCACTGTGCCGCACACCTGCACCTGCAACTCATCTTCCCTCTGGTCCATGAGCCTCCAAAGGGCAGCATTTGAGTCACTTTTCTTGTCACTGGGACAAAATGCCTGACACCCACAACTTAGGGGAGGAGAGGTTTATTTTGGCTCACGTTTCAGGGCAGGGGTGGCCAGCGCCAAAGAAGAAACTGTGGCAGAGGGGCCTGGCGGAGGAGAGATGCTCACAGGGTGGTGGACAGGAAGCAGAGGAAAAGGCAGAGCTGAGGAGGGGTAGGAGCCCTTGCAGTCCACGACACCACCAACCCACCTCCCGCTTCAGGCTTTGCCCCTCACATCCCTTTAAAGCTCATGACCCCATGATCCAGTCACGCCCCCCCCCAGTCCCAGCTATGAGGGCAGCAGGCCTGGGAGGACATCTGGCTCTCACCGTAGCAGGCAGGCTCATTTCCCATCTCTGGGGTGGAAAACAGCCACGGGGTAACGCGTCCCCTCTTTGCTCCCTTCAGCCCATACGTGGAAATAGCCAGCAGGAAATAAGCCCTTGTGCCCCAAATCCGGGTGTCTTCCTGGTATGATCTGTACTCTGACTTCTTTGGGGGCTGTGCTGCTGCGTGCAACAGTGAGACATTGCACTGATGATAGAAAACCAAGGGATAAAACTCAGACAGGCACAGGATGAGCAGTATCTCACTATTCCAAGGCCAGGATGCAGGCCTGCAATGCTCGGACTTGAGGGGCCTGGGCAGGGGCAAGTGGGATGCCCAGGGAACACAGGGGAGCCCCAAGGAGATGCTGTCACCATGAACACCTGGGTCCTGTTTGTGGAAATTCATCCCCAGCCCTACACTGCACTCATTCGTGGGCTGGGGTCACCTCCCTGGGGCCTCATGCCTTTGGGGCCACCACAGCTGGGTACCTGGATGCAGCCCTCGTCATAGCCCAGCTGTGACCAACTCCAGCCGTCTCTCCTGTGGCTGACGGAGGTGACAGCACCAGTGCTGGGTTTGCACCCTGTCACTTGGCCCTTTTTGGTCCCCTCGGTGTCTCAGCACCTCTATTAATAAACGTGGCAGTGCACACACCCAGGACGCCTCGTGCTGCCTCTGTACCTGTGCTGCCCTATCCATGGGAATCAGGCTGGGTGAGCAAGGGATATCTCGTCCTGCGGTGCCGGCCACACCAGGACCCAGGGTTCAGGCCACACTCCAGTGTTTTAGAAACGTTGCATGGATGGGTGTGATCGCTAGGTTTACGTCACCGACGTCACCGATTTATTCCACAGACAGCAAAGAATAGCCCTGTGCCTGCCTTTCTTTCTTTTTTTCTTCTTTCCTTGCTTTCTTAATTATTTTGAGGGTCTCACTAAGTTGCTAATTTGCCTGGGCTGGGCTAGAACCTGCAATGCTCCTGAGGGTTGGGGTCACACGGCCACCACCGAGCTGACAATGACTTCTGACTTCCCCGTGGAGAGCTACTGTCTTCTCCATTTACTCCTCCTTCGTTCATGTAGCCTCAAGTGCCGGACCCAGAGGGTCCTGAAAACACCACTTCTTGCTTGTTTGCCGTGGAAATCCTCTTTCGCAGACCATTTAAGGCCTTTGCGTCCGGAGAACAGTGGGATCCAGTCACAGCTGGTGCTTCTCGGCCATCTCTGTCAGGTCGAGGAAGGACTCTGCTGAATGTCCCTCTCCCTTTCCTCTCCCCTCTTTTCTGCCTTCCCTCTGTAACATCACAGCCACCTGCAGAGGGGAGGCAGGAACAAGGAGGACATCGAAACACTGACCTCAGGGGCAGGGACTTCTTTTCTCAATGAGATCGTAAAATGGTAAACTTGAGTCCCAGGTCATGTCTGAAAGCTTAGTAAAAGACATCAACTTTGGACTCCATTTTTTAAAAAAAATATTTAATTGATTTTTAACTTCCGCTTGTTTTGAGTTTAGCTCTCGCTGTGTTGTCCAGGCTAGGCAGGACTCCTGAGCTTGGGATCACCTGCCTCAGCCACCAGACCGGCTTCACTTGCTTTTCAAATGTGCCTTCCTCTGCTAAACAGTGAGTGACACCCACTGAACGCCGGGGATAAGAGGTCTTAAACAGCGGAGGGCTCTGTAAGGCAGGCAGCGAGATGCCAGCCCACAGCAAGTGCCCTCGGCTTCTGAGTGTGCGGAGTACAGGAGCGCGGGGGCCACTGCCTCCCTCTGCTGGGCCACCATTATCCTGTGTGCGGCGTGCGCCCTCTGGCGGTCGGATGAGCACTGGCGTGGTGAACAGTGACCTGGTGCCTCTGTCTGCGCCATTCGACCCTAAACAGGAAGGGGCTTCTCGCCATCCATCCCCAGAGAGACTGAGGAAAACAGAGGTTCAGGTTTAAAATGCTCTGTACCTTTTCCCCCCAGAGATTGGCTATGAAGTTAAAACAATGAAGATGGTGTCTTTAAAGATGTTTCCACCTTCATTTGGGGGGAAAACAAAAGAATTACATTCCTTTGTCTCACACCCCAGCTCCTGTCCTCTCCGCACACCCGTGGAGTCCACGGCCCCACAGCCAGGCGGGGCGGGATCAGAAACAGCTCGGACAAAAGCTGTACCCGGTTCCCGAGATAACACCAACAGTTGTTTGCACAGCATCTGCTTTGCTTTAGGCCAGGAGGGCCATCAGAGATTTGTGCAGGGAAGCACAGAGGGTGGCATTTTACACTGCGGTTTGAGCAGCCTCTGATTTGTGTCTTGGGGGTTCTGGCTGCCCGAAGGGGTGCGGAGGGAACCCGGCGGTCCTGGAGTCCAATGGGGTCCTCGGAAGCCCCTGCCATCACCCGTGCCAGGGCGGTCCTTTCCACCGCACCCACACCAACCGAGTACACTGGGCAGGGACCCGTTCCTGCACAGCTCCTGAGCCTCCTGCCAGGGCCCTTTCACCGCAGACTGACCCTGTGCACGGTTTTGTGCAATTCTGACTTTATTAAGGGCGTCTTGGCCGGGGCAGGGGGTGAGGGCCGAGGGTGCTGAGCCCCGCATGCTGCCTTGGGCGGCAGGGAACCAGCACGTGGCTCCCCCTCCTTCTTTCCCCCACAGCAGGATCAGGTTCTGTCTCCCAGGCCCGTCTGACCTGCACATTTGCTCCCAGATGCAAGTTTGGTTGCTCGGTGCTGTCGTGCTCCCTCCCGTAACCTCCCAGCTCGAAGCAGTGGCCCCAGGGGTGACCTCTGTGACTGGTGACCACAGGGCCACACCACCTGTCCACTGAACAGACTTCAGGGACAGCAGGCATGGGTGGCACCTGGGTGCCCAAACGGAAACCGGCATCTCCTGTAGTCCATTGGGAATGAACCGGGGTTTAACGGAAATGACACTGAGTTTGGTGAGTTTTGCTGGGGCTGGCAGACATCCCCCCCAACACACACACACCTTGGGAGTCCTGCAGAGCTGAGGGCCACTGGCCTGGGTGTTGCCTGCCCCGCAGCTGTTCGGCCCTCACTGCCCCGGCCTCCACCACACCCCTGCACACCGGGACCAGTAACGTCCCTGCCTCAGGCAGACCAAAGGAGCACTCAAATAATAAGACTATGAAGATGTGTGTGCACAGCACGCTGAAGACGGAACCCAAGGCCTTCACCCTGAACCATGTCCCCAGCTGTTTTTATTTTTTGATTCCTAGACAAAAGACTTGCTTAGTCACTAAGTTGCCTAAGCAGGACTTGAACAAGTGTCCTCCTGCCTCAGCCTCAGAGTTCCGGGGTTACAGTGTTGGCCACTACACACTGCTGATTTAAAAATATATTTCATCAGGGCCGGGGATTTAGCTCAGTGTTTCCACTGCCTGCCTCACAAGCACAAGGTCCTGAGTTTGATCCCCAGTACCAAAAATAATTAAAATATAAATATATATATATATACACTTCACCATCGCCTTTGTAAATGTTTTCTCTCACTCACAAATGCAAATACTCAGAAATCAGAAATAATAAAAGCTCTCCCTGTCACTAAAGCCATATCTATTTGGGTGAATTTTCAATGTGCAGTCTCAGGTTCTAGTCACAAGGATCACACAGACCTCCCCGTGTGTGTGTGTGTGTGTGTGTGTGTGCATGTGCACGTATGTGATATAACTCTAAACACGACGGTACAGAGTCCCAAATCAACTTAGATTCAGGGCCCAATGCGTTTCACACTCACCTGAGAGCTTTCCCTGGCTGCGTGTGGAAACGCGTGTGCACTTTTCGAGCTCACACCTGCGCAGGAAGGAGCCCCTGGGACAGCGCAGCCAGCACCCGGCTCTCCGCCGCGATCCCGCGCCTGGCCACCAGGAGGCGGCGATCCCCGCGGGATGGAGCCGGCAGGCCGCGCTGCAAGGATTGTTGGGGATATCCCACGTCCTCGTCAGGGAAACCTAGTGGCTGCCTGCGATTATTTTGGCTACGGAGTCAGCATTCAGGACCGAAGAGCCATCATCCTGGTTCCATAAGGCGGTGAGGGGGCGTGGAGACCGCCGTGCGTTTAGTCATCCATGCCCTGCATCAGGGTACAGGACGTGTCCAGCGCTGAGCACGCGGTGTTACGCTCAGTCCCTAGGAGCCCTCCCCGGTCTGGACAGGTCAAGTGCGGGTGCCCAGCCACGTGATCACGAGTGTGCAGCCCTTCGTCACTGCCTGGCAGAGGGGCCCCGACCACTGTCATCGTTCCAGCGCCTCGGGTCTCACACGGGCTGCCGCTGCTCCGACCACACCTGCCTTCCCACCACCTTGCTGGCTTCCCGCAGGAATAGCTCCTCCATCTTCCAAGTCCCTCCTTCACCCTGCCTCGACTTTCCCCTTTCCGGCTCATCACTTCTGCATACCTAGTCCGGGTCCCCTGGGGCCCTTCTGGGCAGGTCCCCGCTTGTCTCCCCCCTCTGAAGATCAAAAGTCCCACGGGGGGGGCAGTCTCTGCTCACCCAGAAGTCCCGCACCTGGCGTGCTTCAGGAAGTGCTCAGGACCCTGAGCCCCGCCCCGGAGCACGGGGTGGGGGGTTGGGGGAACCCCTGGAGCAGGGAGGACCCAGGGGGTACAGGTGAGGGTCAGAGCTGTCCCTGGTGAGGTTGCTTCAGGCGCAGGGTGGCTGTGGGAAGCCACAGGCCGCCTGCTCCCCTCGCAGGATGGGGTGGGGCTCCCCTCCCTGCTGCCCGCCCAGCTTCCAGTCCTGTCATAGGGCCTGCCACCCTGGGAGCTTCGCTGCTCTCTGACCTCTTGGAAGCAGCCGGTCCAGCAGCCCAGCAGTCACCCCACGGGGCCTCTGTGTCGCGAACCGGGGACGCAGAGCAATGTCCAGCAGTGCCTCAAACCTGAAAGAGCAGCGGGGTGGAGATGGGGCAGAGAGAAAGGAACGACGCCAAGACAGGAGTCTGATCAAGGCGGAGTTTATTGCCAGCAAGCATCAGCCTTTTAAAGCAAAAAACCACAAACTATTATGGGATGGGGTTACCATAGTAAATGAAAGTTCACACAGGAAAAGAGCAAAGAGGCTCAACAAAAACAACCACCGTGGGTAGTAGTAACCCAGACAACCACACATCTGAAGATCAGAGACAAGAAACTGCAACTTTCAGGAATTCCACAAAGGAAATGCACCACCTGCTAAACTGGAGAAATTTAACAAACATGGAGTTACTAAAGTTAACAATACTTACAACTAATATTCATGATTCCCACACCTCTGCCTCCTGCTGCCCACACTTTCCTCCTGGCCTGGGGCCCACACCTCTCTCTGCTGTTCCTTTCCCCCAGACCGAGTTCAGTGTCAGAAGAACAAGGCCTTGCTGGGGCTCCCGCCTCGAGCCGGGCTTCCTCACACCGGGGTGAGGGGCTGCTAGATCCTGGGGGGCCATGGGGACCTGCTCCTTAGTTCACTCTGCTGTAAAACACGGGCCTTGGGAGTGCCTACTTCTCCAGTTAGATCCAGGAAACCAATACTATCACACACCACCCAAGGCTAGGTGACTTATAAAGAAAGAGGGTGACTTTAGCTAATGGTTCTGGAGATTAAAAACCCAAGCAACTTGGGTGGCTGGGGAAGGCCACATCCTGTGTGGCAGAAAGGCAGAGGGGTGCAAATAAAAAAGGGCAAGGGGCCAAATTCCGGGGGTGACTGACCCATCCCGCAAGGGAAGCCCTGATCCACTGATCGGCTGCCCCGAACCAGTTCTTCCCCCAGCCCTGCCAGTCCGTGGGTTGGGTGGGGAAACGCTGAACCTCAACGCTGGGCAAAATCAACAATATTCGCAAGGCTATTAGAACAGAAAGGAAATCCTGTTCCTTTTCTTGTCAGCTACTCCAAAGCACTTACGGTTTACTCTGTGGAATCCTGGAACAAATCAACTGAAAGGCTTTCAAAAGTTGGTTCTGGTTTTAGACTTCCCCCGCATAACGACTATAATAACGCAATTGCAGCTCTATAGGATGACTTCGCAACCACCTTGTGCCGCCTGATCCCTAGGACCGGCCCAGCGGCCTACAGCCTGGAAACTGAGCCCCAGCTTTGCCCTTTGTGTGGGAGAAGGTGTTGAAGCCAGCCTTGAGGGCAGCCATAACGGCCCCACAGCCCCGCCGGTAGGGAGGAGCCTATCAGCAGGGGGAGGAGCCTATCAGCAGGGGCGGGGTCTACATTGTGCTACTTAAAGTGATGGGGGAACCCTGGGAGGCAGGGTCTGCCCCAACCCTGAAGCAGCTGTAAGAAGATCTCCAGCCCCCAACTCCTTTAAGAGTAAAGAATCAGGGCCAGGGATGTAGCTCAGTGGTTGCACTGCCGGCCTTGCAAGCGCCAAGGTCCGCAGTTAGATCCCTGGTACCAAAAAAAAAAAAAAAGGATCAACGTCTGGGGGCCGGGGAGATAAGACAGAAGAAATCAAGCTAGGTAGAAAGTTAAAATTGTAGTTTTAAGCAAAATTGAAGCTTTGGGACTCAGAAGTAACTTAGGTCTTTCTTTTCGGGGAACTCACTAAAAATTTCCTGAGTCTAGAAGACATAATCTTGTGTGCTGGGCTCTGGGTCTAAGCCATGCCTTTCACCTATGAGTCGTGCCCCCTCCAAATGGCCCCATCCGACCCTGTTCCCAAGAAAGCCGCACAGCTGAGCAGGCAGGGGTGAATGGTTTGCATTCGAACACAGACCGGGGGCAGCCTGGCAGGCAGGGGACACACCCAGAGTCTGAAGACACCAGAGACCCAAAAAGGTTACAGTGCACCTCTCCAGACCATGCATTCTGTCCTCCTACGGTGTCCACTTTTCAAGCTCTGCCTCATTTTACCTCTTTGTGCCCACTTTTTAAAAAAAAATTTTTTTTAAACTCAAAAGAGGGGTCTGGAGCACACCGTATGATTGGGCTGGCAGAAGTGTTGTTTTGAAGAGGAGTACTTTAGTTTCCCTGATAATTAGTTCCATGTTTGACCCTCTAGGGGGCAATTTGAGTTTTTACTTTTTTTTTTTTTTTT